GGGAACCAAAGATATGGAACTATTTTCAAAAAAAAGAAGCTAAAAAAGATAATATGGTAAAATCATTAAACTCATTTAAGTTGCAAGCAAAAAAACAATTTTTAACTCTGAGGAATTACAAAAATTCTTTTAAGTTTTATCAAAATAGTTTTACTTTTTTATTCTTTAAAATAATAATTGTACATTTATTTTTTGTAGTTATTTTATGCATTGGTTTTTATATGTTAAACCCTTGAGTATTTAAATTTGAAGTTTTACATCATACTTTTATCTGCAGTTTATTATAACTTTTTGACGACTTTTTATTTTTCTAGGGGTTCTATAAAAAGATTGTGGTGGTATTGTATCACCCATATCTTCTTTGAGTCCCGATCTGTTTTTTTAAATTGTCTTATTTATTTATATATTTTATTACGTGAAAATCTTATGTAATTGATTTTATTAAACAGCAAAATATATTCAAAACTTGAAAAAAAAAAAAAAGGTTACAGCTTACTGATTGGTCCAAAGGGTCACGCAACCCTAAAGGTCATGTGACCTATATGGACCCTTTTTTAAACCCAAATAATTAAATATATGAAGATCACAATGGAAATCAAAACGGCAGAGTCCCATATAACGTTATTATATGGACCCTGCCTTTTTTTTCCTTGTCACTGGTGGACACTGCTGTTTTTTCCATTGTATACCATATTTTCTTATTCCATTTTACCATAGACTATGTCAGTTTTTTCATTTGAAACTTGGCTTAAAAGAAGCATTTTTCAATGCTTTTATTACCCATGGGCCATAACTGAAAAATTATAAAAATGTGACTCTGCCGTTTTTTCCATTGTGGTCTTCATATATGTTAAAATTGTAACGGAGGAAATTTTAGATGAGCCTATGCGAGAAGAAGAAAACCTATTTAAAAACACAGATGAAACAAAATACATCTCGATTAGTTTGTATAGGTCAAGGCTAGCAGCATGTGTTTCTGGAAGAATTAATTTAAAAATTCTCGAAAGAAGACCAACTCACCAAGAGCTAATAAAAATGACTGCTGATGAAATATATTATATCTCAAATACACATAATGCGGATGGGTAAAAGCATGAGTACAGGAGTTTCAAAAATAGCAAAAATAACTTATACAAAGCTTGTAAAAAGATTATTCCCAAATGGGGACCATGAAGGTTTAAGAGCTGATTTTGATGACAATGAAGTGCTTCAGCTAGTGTTATGCATGGTTTTTATGGGTGGTGTATTTTACCATAGATTTGATATGGGTCTTGCACCTCTTATTATTATGTTATCAACCGCCAATTATGCTGACGTTACCCGTCCGTTTAGGACTATTAAGCAACAATCTCAAGAAATAAATCCTGAGCCTTTAAAAAAAGTTTCAGGTAAAACCTTAACTGAATTGCTACCAAAAATTGCAGCAAAGGATGGCATAAAAACACTTTAGAAATGCGATGCAATACATGAGTTCATTCAAAAACGTGGTTTCCAAACGCCAAAATGTCAAACCACAGTTTCAAACTGATAATATGTGGTTTTACGAGATAAAAAAACAAATGCTGTATAATAAAATTTCTGTTTTGAAAAAATGTGGTGAAAAGTTCAGCAGAAAAGTTGATAAATGAACTGATATCTCCATTAAAAGATATATAACAATATAAAGTATATCACAATAAAGTTGCATATAAAATGGGTCTTAATAAAGTTAATGATTCCTGTGTAGGTTGCTTATAAAATGGGTCTTGTTAAAGTTAATGATTCCTTTTCACAATCTAAGAATTTGTAAAACAAAATTTGACCAAATTTGGGTTAGATTTAATGTACACATCTACTCAAGTCTACTCACGATGGTGCTGCAGTAATGTAAAAATTTGGGCGGATAATTTTTAAAGATGTTAAAATCTATTTAATTGGCTTTTAAGAGGCTTAGTAAGAATAACTCAACTGTTTTGACCAGTGAAGGTGTTAACAAAATAAAACAAACACAAAATGACAAATCTAAGTGTAGTGATGCTAGATTCCCTTAAAAAGCAATATGATGAGCGACAAAACAAAGATTTAATATCACTAATGAGATTAGCAAAACCTCAATTCAAATAAGTCACAAAATAATGATGGCTTAAAATATTCATCAAAGTCAACAATTATTCAATATGCAAAAAATATAGTTAAAAAAAACTTTATCAAGTATTGCATAGTATCAATTTCAAATAATCGAATAAAGAACTTACTGAAGAATCCAATAACAACCTTACAACATAGTTACAACAATCCGTAACAATGATGATCTCTTTTCAACCCAAGATTAGTTGTTCTGATCTATTTTTAGAGATATTAAGGGTTTTTAAGCTGTTTGAAGCAAGTGGAGTTCGAACATCAATTTTAAATAAGATTGATGCTGCTCTCAAAACCATTCAGCCCACGTCAACATTTACACGTCAACATTTACACGTTAACATTTACACGTCAACATTAACACGTCAACATTTACACGTCAACATCCAGCAAAAAGAATTTTTTCGGTTGCTTTTTGTTTTGCTGGTTAGTTTGCAGCTAAGCTTTGAAGCCAAATGAATTTTAATATATATAATGAATTAATATTTTAAAAATGGTATTTTTTAAAACGTCAAATAATTGAGTTAGTACTTTTTGATAAAATATTTTTAATATTTTAAATAATACATTTAATTTTTAGATATTAAAAAGTAAAAAAAAATTAAAATAGAAAAAGAAAAATGTGTAAATTTTCTTTTTCAATTTTCTTTTTTCTTTTCATAAAGTTTTTTACGGATTTGGCTAATTTTTTTTTTAAATGTCGCGCAATACCGGTTTATACCAGTATTGAATTTCGAAAACCGGTATTATAAGTCTACTTCATCAGTAACAATTTATGTCTAATACTTAAATTGTTTAAAAAATTTATTATTATATAGCATAATAAGTTTTAACTATTTATACCATAAGCGATAACAGTACTTGTAAGCGCCTCTTTATGGGTGTTTAGATCAGCGTAATCATTATTTTTTTTATCAGTTGAGTCAGTTTTGTTGTCCTTGTTAATTTTGTTGTTTTTGTTGGTTTTTTTGTTTCCGTTTGATCTATAAATCTTTTTATTTTGTTTATATCTGTTACACCTAGAGTAACACCAGCAGGAGCAATAATTAGTTGATTGCTATATTCAACTGAACTGTCCGTTTTTAATGTTAAACTGCCAGCAATCATGTAAGTGCCTGGGATAAGACAGTTAGTCAAGATGCATTTGGCATTATTGTTTGATAATTAGTTATATCATCTGTATTTTTTTCTAGGTGGTGAATACGAGCATCTAATGCATTAATAAACTCATGCTGAGCTAAAATTGCACTCGCGCTTTTATCCCCAATTATTGAGTTTTGAGTACTCAGTTGTGCTGAGAAAAGGCAAACAGCGTAATTACCAATAATTTCTGTAAAAAATTAAAAGCCATCTTGGTAAACCGTCCGTCTCATCTGGTACCTGACCAATGCATAATTTAATAATGTCATAATCTCTTGTTTTTTCGTTTTAAAAAAATGTCGCCAAGAATCATAAGTGCGAACGCAATTTTTCATAATTTTTTTTGAATCAATATTAAATTTATTTATAATTTTTTTAAAAACCTCTTTATTGTAAGCACATTTAAAAAGATTTAAACGTTCTTTGTTTAAAAGTGTATCGCTACAACGCCATAAGTTGTGGGATGCAGTTTAATAAATATGAGAATAAAATATAGTTAAAGTTTTGAATATAATCGCAACTTTTTGCTGTTATTTTTAAAATTTAGTTTTAAGCAATCATTGTTATTTAACACTAAGTTTTAAATGTTTTTTTTGGTTCTTTTTCAATTTTTTGTTAAGTTCAGAACTAGATTATGACACATTCATCTGGATTCACTGGTTTTTATAAAAGATCACACTAATTCAAAAAAGTAGTCAAAAAATAAAGTAAAAATAATTTTTTTCTCTTCTTGTTTCTATTTTACTTAAATAAAGGCTGCAAAAGTTTTCCAGGAAACACTACGAATAATTGTCGTTATACCAGTAAAGCAAATTGTCCGGGAATTCGCTATCCTTAGTCATCGATTGTTGTTCTAAAATAGCTCATAAATGGCAATTTAAACCATGACATAAATTTAAAATTAAGTTCTAAAGCTGTTAAAGCTAATAACTCTTTTAAACAAAATCAACTGTAGCAATTTTTTTAATATAAAAACACAAAAAAATACTAAGGAATTTAACCAGAAAAAGTGAAAGACCGATATCAAAACGTTAATATCCAAAGAAAATGTAAAAATGCAAAAATGTTCAAAGTCAAGGTTCAAATGAAGGCCATAAAATTAAGCATTAAAGCAAGGCCAAGGCCAAGGACTATCAGCTCTGACATTTATAAGTAGATTATATTTTCATTAAAGTTTTATTTCCATGAGTAATTTTTTAACTTTTTTAAAACTTAATGAATGTTTTTTTAAATTAGTTCTATTTACAAAATATTTTGTCATGCTTTAAAAAAAAAAAAAAAAAGATAACCAAAACGAAGAGCTTGTATTTTGTTTAGAATTAATTAAATTTTAAACATAAATTTAATATTTAATTTAGAAGCTTAATTGATAAAATGGAGATTTAGCAAAGAGAGTTTTAAAAATAAGTTATTCACGGCGTTCTGTTTACTTTTATAGCTCTTTCAATCCCAGTAAGCACAAATCGTTTAAAAAACGTTAAAATCCGTTACAATAAGTTTTTTAAACGTTTTAATAACGTCCTGTGTTTACTGGGATACTCGCCATGAATCGCTTTATAAAATTTGAATTATTCATTTAATAGGCTCGCAATATATATAAAGCTCCATGGTTGTTCATAAAAAGTTTGTTTTAAAGTGGTTAAATTTAGGAAATTAAAAGCCTCATTTTATGAATTGAAATTGTTTCCATTACTAACAACAACATAAAAAAAGTTAAGACAATTAAGAAACAATAAACTCACTTTTTTCGCATTCAGAGATGACATCTTTTCGTTCACAAAAAATTAATCCAGACTTTATGACCCACCAACTTTTGTTTGGATTATTTATGCACCAGTTATTGAAAACCTGATATATTTGTTCTCTGGTTGTACTGCACTCATGTAAAACTCTATCTATTTTTATATCACTTATGTTCAAGAAGCGAGCAAGTGTTTTCCAATCATGTTGTAACTCGTTAGCAAGAGTAGTGAGCACATCTCTCGAAAGTTTTTAACTAAAAAATACAAACATTATTTAAACAAAGAACAGAAAAGAAATGCGACTTTAAATTAAAAATTACCATTTAAAGAATCAAATTCGATACAACTACCTTGATTTAATTCCATTTGTGCTAAAAGGTATTTAAAAGTGTTGATACATATTATAAGGTTATAATAATATAAATTATATGTAAACTTTAAGTAATAAAACAGTAACAACACTTTAAAAAAAATATATTGACAAAAAAATGTAAAAACTGAACATAAAAAATCACTTGTAAAAAATAATGATTGTTTTTTTTATTTCTTTAAAAGTAGAAATTATTGTGCGATAACAGAAAGCTTTTTATTATGTTATTATTCGACCATACCATTCACTAAGTTTGAAAGCGTAAAATGGAACGGTATAGATTTGAATTTATATAAGGTTTTATATAATAGACTTTATATAATAGATAGATATAGACTTTATATAATAGAAAGATTTTATATAATAGACGTATGTACCGTGTATAAAGTGTGATTGTATTATCTTATCCAATTAACTAATCTAAAAAACAGCACCGTAATATAAAAATTGCACTATAATTTTGATTTTAAGAATTTTGCTTAAAATGTTTTTTTATTGAACTTAATGTTAAATAAAATTAAGGTCGTATGACAAAAAAAAAAACTGTTATGCAGATTCTAAGAAAATGTACATTTTCAATATAGTCTGGAAGCCTGTGATCAACTATGTACTTTAGGTTATAGTGGATTAGCCAGGTAACAGGTATTAATGATGTTTAAATTCACAACATAAATTTATCAATATATATTTAGTATAACATAAAGTTATAAAGATTGTTTTTCTTTTATTGTCTTTGGTATAATATTAGAAACTACGTTATCCATTAACAGTCACTATTATTATGACGACAACCAAAAAAAAACTTGAAAAAAACTTCAAAAATTGTAACTGTTCTTTACATTATTTTATTTTTATTTTTTTTTTCTAAAAATACATTAAAGCTCTAAAACTATTGTTTTGCTATAATGTAAAACAATTACATTAACTATTGTATTGTATTGCTGTGATGTAAAACAATTACATTAACTATTGTATTGTATTGCTGTGATGTAAAACAATTACAATAACTATTGTATTGTATTGCTGTGATGTAAAAAATTACAATAACTATTGTATTGTGTTGCTGTGATGTAAAACAATTACATTAACTGTTGTATTGTATTGCTGTGATGTAAAACAATTACAATAACTATTGTATTGTATTGCTGTGATGTAAAACAATTACAATAACTATTGTATTGTATTGCTGTGATGTAAAACAATTACATTAGCTATTGTATTGTATTGCTGTGATGTAAAATAATTACAATAACTATTGTATTGTGTTGCTGTGATGTAAAACAATTCATTAACTATTGTATTGTATTGCTGTGATGTAAAACAATTACATTAACTATTGTATTGTATTGCTGTGATGTAAAACAATTATAATAACTATTGTATTGTGTTGCTGTGATGTAAAACAATTCATTAACTATTGTATTGTATTGCTGTGATGTAAAACAATTACATTAACTATTGTATTGTATTGCTGTGATGTAAAACAATTACAATAACTATTGTATTGTATTGCTGTGATGTAAAACAATTACATTAGCTATTGTATTGTATTGCTGTGATGTAAAACAATTACAATAACTATTGTATTGTATTGCTGTGATGTAAAACAATTATAATAACTATTGTATTGTGTTGCTGTAATGTAAAACAATTCATTAACTATTGTATTGTATTGCTGTGATGTAAAACAATTACATTAACTATTGTATTGTATTGCTGTGATGTAAAACAATTATAATAACTATTGTATTGTATTGCTGTGATGTAAAACAATTCATTAACTATTGTATTGTATTGCTGTGATGTAAAACAATTACATTAACTATTGTATTGTATTGCTGTGATGTAAAACAATTACAATAACTATTGTATTGTATTGCTGTGATGTAAAATAATTACAATAACTATTGTATTGTGTTGCTGTGATGTAAAACAATTACATTAACTATTGTATTGTATTGCTGTGATGTAAAACAATCACAATAACTATTGTATTGTATTGCTGTGATGTAAAACAATTACAATAACTATTGTATTGTATTGCTGTGATGTAAAACAATTACATTAGCTATTGTATTGTATTGCTGTGATGTAAAACAATTACAATAACTATTGTATTGTATTGCTGTGATGTAAAACAATTCATTAACTATTGTATTGTATTGCTGTGATGTAAAACAATTACAATAACTATTGTATTGTATTGCTGTGATGTAAAACAATTACAATAACTATTGTGTTGTATTGCTGTGATGTAAAACAATTACAATAACTATTGTAATGTATTGCTAAGATAAAAAAAAATTATAAAAAGTACATTGATGTATTGTATTATTATTTCAAATCTAATTATTGTATTTTATAGAGATTAATATTGTTTTACAAAGATGAATTGCAATAAAATACTTATTGTTATTGTATTACATTATTACAATAGTTGTAAATCAAAGTATTGTTATTTTTTTAAATTAAGTTAATACAATAACAATAGTTGATTTTACTGTTATTGTTTTTATAACAATTACAATAGTCGTAACCGTAGCAAAATCCATAACCAATTTGAGACTAAGCAGAAAGTTTGACGCGAAACCAAATGTTTTAGCATAATCTAACTCGATGTGCAAAGTGTATTAGTCGTCGCGCTTTTTTTTTTTTTTTTTTTTAAACATCTTTACTTGAAACTGCAAGGAATAAATATTAGAGTTAAAAGTTACTGGAAGAGAAAAGATGAAGTTTATAACATGATAACGATTAACAAACAATCAGGGGCGGATCAAGACCATCGAGTAAGGAAGGAGGAGGAGGAGAAAGTTGGGTTGATGGAAAGATAAAAAGGGGGTTGGCTGATGTATATATTTAATAAAAAAAGGGAGCAAAAGAGGTTTTTAGATTTTTAGTTAATTTTCTTTAAAATAGAAGTCTTTCATTGTGTTAATATTGGTAACCATAAAATTATGTTAAATACCAATTTAATTTTTGCACTACACAAACTCATTAAAAATTTTTTATCACATTTAAACAGCTTTTCTAATTTAGTTCCGTTTTTAAATAATTGCTCAATTAAAAATTATAAAAAACAAACTCTTTATAAAATATCTAAAAAAAGACGATTGTCCCAAATGTTTCTTTCCCCTCTATGGATCCGCCTATACAGACGACTTAAATGATTGCAAGTTACGTAAACAAGAAATCAAGATAAAGCATGCAAATTCAAATGTTTGAGTAAATAAGATAAACTAGCAGTAAGCAACCCGTAACACGGGTTGTTAGTAAATAATTAAAAAAAAAAAAAAACACGTATAGAAAAGTCTAGAAACTACTTTAAAATAGAAAAGCCTAAAAATTGACGTAAGTCGACTATTACTACTATTAAATTAGCGTATTAAAATTATCAGATAATTAAGAAATGTTTTATCGCTTAGTAAAAGACTTACTTGATAGACTGTTAGAAAACAACTTGTGGAGGAGACCAGTATGCCAAATTTTATCAAAAGGATTTAGAAATGGCAAGCGCGTAAGCTTTAACCACTTTGTCTATATCACTATGCACAATAAAACCTATTAGCTATTACTTTTAACAAAAACAGCAGTAGAACTAGAAACTCAAAATCTATATTGATGATCAAAAAGTAAGTTAAAAAAATTAAGATAACTAACAGATTATTGTTTGTCAATTTAAAACTCAATAACTTTGGTTATGATAGAAAAAAGACTAATAGGACGGTGGTTAGATGAGTCAGATTGCCCTCCAGAACTCCTAAAAAAAGACTCAAATAGGATTTTGTTAAAAAGTTTTGAAAGAATAGACGACAACAGAGGAAAACATTTCTGCAAGACTATAACAGGTATGTTGTCCGCACCACAAGCAGTAAAAAAAGTCTAAGCAGGAAATCAATGTAGAAACAGAATTTGAAGTGATACGAATGCCAAGGAATGGATTAACTTGATTGTCGGCTATCTCAAGTAGAATGTGATTAATGGAATCAAGATTGATGAAATTTTTTATCAAACAATTCAGCTTTGTCTTTAGATTAAGTAACAAAATCTGAATCATACAAGAGAGAACAAATAACAGATTTACCCTTATTATAGACACTAAAAAAGATTCTCATGAAGTCTCTAGAGATTAACGTTTGAGAGTAAATACAAGATTTTATGACCTAAGAATAAAAGGGGTCTTCACGTCAAGCAAAAACTATTTACAATGGTTTCTAGCACAAGTAAAACTGACGTCTATCTTTTGGAGAAATTTTTGGTTTAAGGGCCATCACAAAAAAATAATCACGAAAAAATTCCTAGTCAGCTTTAAGGTAGTTGTAAGAGGTACAACAATAGAGGGATTCTGATGATGAAGAATTATTAGATAAACTTTTAAGAGAGATCAAAAAATGATCAACAGCCCTTGAAGGCGAATTTTGAGAAACAGAGCACTGATTAGGTTCAGACATAAGTCGAGTAGAAAAGGTAAATATTCGGATGGTTTAGAAAGCGAGTTGGAAAGTTGATAATTTGTGTTAGAGATTTTGAGGGCTTTAACGTCTACAGAGCCACTGACACTAGAGGCAACCCATTCAGTCTGATGAGCATTAAGTCAACAACACTAACAGTGTGTGAAAGATATAGAGAAAGAGCTTAGTCGATTTGAACAAAAATAGCATTGAAAAGAGTGCAGTTATGAGATTTAGAGGAGAGCGATACAGAACAAAGAAAAAGCTGATAGAGTGAAGTAATGCTAAGATAGAGTGCAGTGGTGTTAAAAGAAAGCACAAAAGTAATAGCCTATGGATAAAAAGCTAGTTTCTCGACAAATGGGTGAATTATTATATATGTAACCCAGCCGGCATTATTACGTTGTTTCAACGTTGAAATTCGGTTGAAGCGTTGATTTAACGTTGTTCAACTATGTCACAACGTTAAATCAACGTTACCGTTTAAACGTTGATTATTTAACGTTATTTCAACGTTAAATCAACGTTACAGTTTAAACGTTGATTATTTAACGTTATTTTAACGTCAATATTTCAATCATTGTTGACAAAAAATACGATATAAAATTTATGCGCGCGCAGAAATGGAAGTAAAATCGTAAACATTATTTCAACGATTAAAGTTATAAAGATTTATAATGGAAAAAAAATGTAAAAACTGAACTTATATCATATAGAATTTTCAAGAGATCGAAAACATGTTTAGACGATTTTCCTGAAAGAACATTATCGT